GGGGCGGGTCCCGTACGCGGCTTCCGCCCCCCCGCGCTCCGCACACGCACCCCGACCCCGCGGCCTCCCCGCCCCGCTCCCTCCGGTTCCCGACCGCCTGCCCCGCCGGAGGAGCCGCCCCCGCGGGCAGCGCACGGCCCGCATTGCCCGGCCGCGGGCACCGAGCCGGGGACTGCTGCTCTCGCCGGTAACGCTCCTGCCGCCCTCCGTGTGCCGGGAGCTCTGCCCGGGGGCTGCGCTGGGACCCCGCCTGACGGAGTGCGGGACCGAGCGCCGGGACACAGTGGGCAGCACAGCACGGCCAGCGGGAACCGCCGGGGCACACCGGGCACCGCCGGGGCACACCGGGCAGCAGAGCACAGCACGGCCAGCGGGAACCGCCGGGGCACTCGCTGGGAGCACCCAGCAAACCGGGGCTGCTGCCCTGTCAGACGGGGTTCGGCTGGGGACAGGAGGTGTCTAAGGGCGGAGGCCGGTTCAGCACGGCATCCCGAGCGTGCTGAACGCGCAGCGCTGGGGCTGCTCCCAGCACAGCCGGGCTGTTCCATGCCAGAGGGGCTGACACCGCAGCCAGCCCAGCCCAGCCCAGCAGGACCGGCCAGTCTCGGGGCAAGGGCAGATTAAAGCCCGGCTTTGGGCAGGGAGGCAGAGACCATCCCGTAATTCACAGCCCGTGCGTGTGCAGTGGCACGGGGCAGCAGAACCCAAATCCCCACCGTGTGACGTGTCACGAAGTGTGGGGTCCCCTGAGCTTCGACCTGTGTCCATCCTCCTGCAAAGAAACTCACTACAAACCCTTTGCTCATGCTTGCTCGTGCAGTACATACAGAACATTGAAACACTCAAACACAGAAATACTTAATTATCAAACTTTAATTCATAAGACTAATCTTACAGAATAAAACACCAGGATAACCAGTCAAGGTTACACTTAAAAAAATCCAGCAGTGCAAATCTAAGACTAAATATTTGTCATCTCCCTCCCCCCAAAATAGGCAATAGATTATTTAAAAATACCATAATACATGGTACTCACATATTCCATTTAAAATAAATCTGCAGTGGACACAAATATCTAAGTTGGTTTTTTAAAATATAAAACCAAAGAATGAATCGCTTTGAGTATGGATAAGACAGAGTGAACTTCCATGAGCTCCAAGGCGAGTCCTTGGCTGGAAGGTAACATGGGCACGTTTCATACAAGCCTTGCTAGGGCTCTCCTGGTCCCCGCTCCCCTCCGGTGACAAGGACATGAACAAAACAAGGTGCCAGCCGCCTCACTGCCACAGGTGGGAGAGGCTGCTGGACAGAACTGAGGTGAAAACGGCCCCGCTGGAAAAACCAAGTAACAAAGGACGGAAAGCAAACGAAGGGGAGCCTGGAAACAAGCCCTGCAAGGGCGGGAGCAGGGAGTGCCGTGGGGTCAGGACCTGGCTGTGGGCAGGGGTGCAAGCAGACCCACCCTGGCACTGCAGCAGCAGGGAGTTGTTTCTCTTTGGCCCTTAGAGCAGGTGCAAGCTGGGCAGGGTGTGTGTGGCACCAGCACAGTGAGGTGGTGGTGACAGTTTATTTCCTTTGAATCCAGATTGCTCCCTCCCATCACCAGAACACCCTGACTGTAGTTACACATTCCTCATCAACATCAATAATGGAAATTAATAATTTACTTTAAACTTGGTATGAAACCATGTGAGTAACACAAGCTCTGCATGCAAGACAGCCTCTGTTCAAACCCCAACCAGGCTGAGCAACAACACTTGTGCATTGCCAAGGAAGCAGTGATCCTGGGACTGCTCACTGGGGATGCACAAACAGAGGAAAGAATACTGAACTTGGGACAAGCAGAGGAGGAGAAACCTGCAGTGCTGGGCATGGAGAGGGGGAAGGGATGGCACACAGGTGAGCTGTGATACTCATGGAACAAGGCAGGGAGGGAGCTGTGGGACTGGCAGGAGGAATCCCAGGATGTCAGCAAGGAGGGGACACAGCCAACAAAAAACAGCAGCTGTGTCCTGCAGGGACCTGCATTTGCCTCACCAATACTTTAACCTGCAATTAGCAAGCCCAGAAAACACTCCCAGGGAATCACACCTAGACACAGCAGGAAGCATTCACTGCTGAGAGCACCCTGTTAAGCTGTGATTTAACAGAAATACACATCTGTGCAGCTGGCACTGGTAGCAGAATCATCTTTATCACCAACTCCACGTTCCCAGTGTACTCACACTTTACTCACACACTGTGTCTCACCAAGGACCAAACTCCTCCCTGTGACCACTGGTTATGCTGAGTCTGCCTTGGGATGGTCACAGTGACCAGAGAGCAAAATCCAAAGCCAAGAGAGAGGCAGGCAATGCTGAGAGGCAACTGTGGCACTATCCCACTAAAAAGAGGGTGTTTCTTAATGTCAGTAACTGCCTTGGAAAAACTGGTGTATGCCAGAACATACACAACTGCACATCATTCCCAAAGAGAAAGGATCTTAAAACAGTGCTGCTAATTTCAACTAGAATACTCATTTCAAAGAGGTCCCAACAAGCCTGGGATATCGAACCAACAAACGCCAACTAAAGCATTTATAAGTCACTTTCCTGTATTTTAATTCAAATTTTGCACACAGAACAAAAAAATGAGACAATTTAATTTTTCCAATCAAATCCAACCTGCAAGGAAGCACCTAAACAGGATCACATTTTCTTAGTGTGTAGTATTTTCTTCATGTTTAATATTTGTATGTAACCAAGGGGTTTGTGCTGAGTCTCCTTGGAGCTGCAGGGCTGTACGTGGCCCAGGACAGAGCAGCTGTGCCCCTGGCACGGGGTGTGACACTGCCCTGTCCCTGCTCACCCCAGAGTTACTCACCCGGCCGCTGCGTCCTGCACAGGAGCCCCAGGAGCTGGGGAGGAGCTGGAACTCGGGCACCAGGGCACCACAGCTGCTCCTGCCCGCCCCAGCAGCAAGGGGGCGAAGGAACAGGAAAGGAAACGGAACACAAACAGATGCACAGACAGGTCTGAGCACGCTGAGGAACAAATGGGAGCTGATCATCACAGAACCAGCACGGTGCCAAGTGCCAACGTGGCCCCAGGCGACAGAAAGAGCCAGTGTCACCCCTCTGCTTTATCCTGTAGTGCCCACACCTTCCACCAGGTAACAGATTGTTCATTTCAGCCTTAACAGCAGGACTGACAACTAGGAAATCACAAGTGTGATGGCTGTGTTTCACCCAGGACATTGCCTCCAGTAAAGCCAGGCCAGCTCCTCTCTGCCCCCACTGCTCCAGGGGACTGCCAGGGAGCTGACACAGCTCTCCAGGACACACTGCTGCTGGCTGCTACACAGAAAGGAAATACCCCAAGCTACAGGACTAACAAGCACATCTCTTTTAATGCAGGATATGAAACACCTTTAAAACTCAGATTGTGTGGCTGCTCAAACAGAAAATACAAACTACAAGCTGCTATCTAGAGGCTGCAGGGAAATATGTGACCTCAGCACCTACCAGAAAGCCAATGTGTTTTCCAGTCTCTCAAGTAAAATAAAAGTAAAAAAAAAAATACTCATTTGGGAATTTGCACTGCTGTGCTTCAACTGGGCTCTTGCTCAAGGAGTGGGAAGAGTGGACATGGAACACGTTCAGATTAGCTGTTCCTGCAAGGCTGTTTCTGCATGGCTTTGAGCTGGCACGGAGCAGCACTGAGCCCCAGTGCTGACGCAGAGCTGGATGTGTGAGCTGCTCCAGCCTGGCTGCACAATGCCACCTGCTCTGGGCTTGGCACCTGTGCAGGGCTGAGGGCTCCGTTCAGAACACCTGAGAGAAATGGCACATGGATGGCTGGCATGACACACAGAGCACCACAGCCCCAGGCACAGCACGTTCCTTCTGACAGAATGAGGCGTGAGGGCTTCTTGTGAACTGGAACAGGAGAAAAGCTGGAAGGTGTTTACATTTCAAAACATTACTTGCTGGACAGTTAATCTAAAGTACAACTCACTGAATTCAATCACCACAAGTTTTCAAATCCAGCTCACAAAAGACTGCTGCTGTGATTAAGAATCCAAAACAGCATCTGAGCTTCTCTCTTCCTTGCTGCCCCAGCCCAGCAGGTGCAGGTCTCTGTGGCTCCCTCCCTTTGGGAGGTCTGTGTGCCCTGCTCCCAGGCAGCGTGACGGTGTTTCCATCCATGTCCTGTCACTGTGTCCCCTGCTCACACCAGCAGCACAAGGGTGTTCCAGTCCAACAGCTCAGTGTCAGCGCAGCAGCTGCAGAACGATCCTGGACTGCAACATGCAGAGCAAGACAATGCTCCCAAAATGCAGCAGCCCAGGCAGGAGGTGAAGCACTGACCGGGCACCAGAGGGAGCAGCACCGGGTCACCACCACAAAACATCCCTGCAGAATTCACCTGCTCCAAACACGCTACACAGAACAGCCTGGAGCTGCCAGACCCGGGAAAAGGCCAGGAAAATCCCAAACCAGCAGGGCATCTTTGGGTTCAAACAAAGAATTAGTTCTGCTACCAAGGAGTGGAAGCTGCCCTGGAGGGCATGGGATATGGCTTCACCCAACAGCGAGGCTGTGCACTGCTACAGTTAGCTCTTAAAATCTGCCCTCAAAGTCCCAGTCACACACAGTAACTAAGGTAAGTCTAATGCTGATAACTGAGAGATTATGAAAATATTTGGTTTTGTTCAAACCATGTAAAAAATCCTCAATAATACATTGTAATATTTTCTTTTTAAAACTAAACTGGAAGATCAACTCTCAGCAGATTTAAGTGTATTACACACAATATTTTGTGAATTAAGATTTATTGATTTCCATTGTATTTGCTTTAAATATGGTTGAAGCTGACTGCAGAAAAGGGATGGTGAAATCTTTAAGTTAAAAGTAAACTAATGGTGAAAGAACATCACCTCTGGCTTCCATCCATGCCTCGTTTAGCATGTTTTAATAATAAGTTCCAGGACTGTCACATCCAGGGATGTTGGAGGCCTCTCCCAGCAGTGTCCTTAGATTTGTGTCATTTTCCTGTGCCAGAGGTGAGCGTGCTTTCAAAAATACTGCCACTTCCCCAGCACCGTGTCTTTGATTGCATCGACATACTGAGTTGGGACCCAATAGACCCAGTAGTAAGATGCTTCTGTTGGGCCCAGCTGAAATGCCTGCAATTAAAAATGACAACATTTACACACGGGAACAAAGAGCTGCTCCCAGTGGACAGGCACAGCTCATCCACTGCCAAACCAGACCAGCCTGTCCCACCTGCTGCTCCCTGCAGCACTCGGGCATTCCACAGCTCTTTGGTGGGCAATTAAAGGAGCTCTGCAGAGAACAAAGCTGCAGAGCACTGAGGAAACCAGGAGCTCTTCCTTTTACAACATCACAACAGTAACCAGAACTCCTGGACTCGTGGCCAGTTCCAAGAACATGAGGGAATTATTCTGGGGGACAGCCTGAAGCATAACTCAGAGTCTCTAAAGAAACGTCAGAGCTGAGAAGCCAAACAGGATCTAAACAAGACAGTGACCATGCTTTTATGGTCACAGGATTTTATATTTAGACATAATGTCCTATTCTCAACTTCTCTCCTGTGCCCAGGAGAGGGGCACCACGGCATGCCAGAGCCTCTGCCCCTGCTCTGGGGTAAGTTTATTGCAACATGTGCTGAAGAGAACCTTCTCACACGGGTGATCAAAAATCAAGTATTCGGACAGAGACTAGAGCAGCACCCTCCTGCAGGCCATGACTTTAAGGAAATACATTTCCCTTTCCTCCCCCTAAAGAAGGAAACAAACTTTTATAGAACTTCAATGTCAGAAGTTAGTTACTGTACTTTGAAAAGCAGGATCTTAAAAAAACCCATGGATTAAAATAAACAGCCAAAATTTCAGTACATTAGCATTAGTTCTCTTCTGAAATATAACTTTGCTAGATCCCATGTGAGTTGTTCAGAAAATTACAGGTGTGAAAAGACATTACAGCATCCAAATCCTTTTTTCTTAACCTCCATCAAGATCTGTTGTTTATATAAATACCCCAGAATCTAGAAATTAAACCAGGTACCAAAAATATCCCTACCATTAAGAAATCATGTTGTGAGCATGTTTACTGGTTTAACACTGTCACAGTCAGAAGGTACAAAATAATGCTTCAGCACTTCATGTTTGTGTCAAAACACTCTGGATTTGCACACAGCTGCAGATATTCAATTTGGACCCAAAGTACTGACAGTGTGAGAGGAGCCCATGTCCCATCTCCACAAGGCTGGAACCAAAGCCAGCCTGCTCTGAGCTGCAGCCTCAGCAGTGTGTGCTGCATGAAGGAATCAGATGGATATGATTAAAGCAGAGCTGTTACTCACCATCATGTGATAATCCTCATGGCCTTCAATAGGTTCACTCACCACATTTTTAATGGACCCCATGGGTAACTTTTCTGTTCTCTCTACATTAAAATTGATCAAAGTATTATTTCTGACATGCGGGGAAGCAGTATTTCATATTCATTTCATACACCACCTCCATTAATGCCAAAATCTCCTCAGGTCAACAGTCTCCCCTCCAGGTGAGTTTTGGATACCTGCTGCCCAAAACGTGGTGCTGCAGCACCACAACCCCCAGACATCCAAAACTGGATCACACAGTTCCCCTGCACCACAGGAAGTATTTCAGTGCTCATCATTTGGGCCCAGACTGAGTGATGGGAAATCCTGGGCTTTACCAAATGTTTTCCCATGAGGAACTCCCCTTGGAGCAGCAGGGATGCTCATCCCGTGGAATCCAGTCCAGGTGTGGGAATATTCAGGACTGAGTACCAAGGATTACATGGAACTCTCAACAGCAAGCCTGAAAGCTGCCAAAGATACACTGTCCTAACTCTGAAAGCTTAGGCCAGGCTTTACCCCGAGGCAGTGTGCAGAGAAGCACAGGGAAGGGAATATAACAGAGAAAAAAGGGAAAGAAACCAGTAAGAGAAGCTGAAGCCCCAAAAAGACTACAATTACATGGCAGAGTAATGTCAGCAGCCAGAGGCAATGACAAGAGCCACAAAGGTCCAGGGCAGAGCTTTCCTGTCAACTCTGTCTCTCTCCTTTCTGAACACTCAGTTCCAAGGTCCTGCTTTTCCCTTCAAGCACCCAGCAGCAGCCAACAGTTATCTTCTCTGATACAAGACAGAGAATACCCAAAACACTTTACAAAGGAGAAACTGAACTCTGAGTTCTTGAGATAGATCTCTTTAATTTGTGATCCAAAAAACCTCAAACCTACCTACAGAAAGCACACAGGGAGACAAACCCAGTGATATAAGGAAAGATATTCTCTGTCTCGCAACTGAGCTCACTCTGAACTACCTGTTCAGACCTGTGACTTCACTCATGAGGTAAAACCCCATTCTGCCCTTGTTTAGCATCCCCCAAATACATTTCTGCTCTGAGTATCCCAGCAACAGACAAATCCCATTATCCATGCCTCTGTGCAAGTGACACTGAGCAACTGGGGAACAGCTGCCTGTGCCACACTTCAGACTACAACCACCTGCACAAAGCCCCTGTGGGGCTGCAGGGCTGGGGGTAAGAGCCAGCTCCAGCTCTCCTGGGCCAGCAGGTGACAAGCTGTGCCCACACCCAGAGGTGTTTACTCCAGCCCTTACCTGCTGGCCTCTGTCATGGGTTTCCCAGAGGAGGAAGGAGTTTTTCCCAGTAACAGCCAGCAATTACAACCATTCCCCAGAGGCAGCAAGCTGCTGCTAACTCGGGGCAGCAGGGAAACAGGTTACAGCAAACACATGACTACAAGAAGAATCAAATTCACAGCTTAAGCAATACCATGTAGAACACCTCAGAAACACTATACTTGAAAACTCATCTGGGGGGTGATGGAAGAGATTAATCACCTAGATACTAAGCATGGATTTAGAACCTGGGATCAGAAATAGAAAAATCTGCCTGCCCAACCTACAGAGTTAAAAACACCCCCAATGCCTTGCTCCATCACTTTGCCCAGGAGGGAATAATTGCAACTGGCACCAAGAGAGGTTTTAAAGCCAGAAAAAATCTTCACAGTCAAGTCTGTCCTACAAAGAAAGGGTCAAAAACTTTGGGTATTTCTGCTTACTTTGGACCTACTGTAGCGGCTGGAGGCAGGATAACCACCCAGTCAGGCTGCCTTACTGGGACAGTGAGCAAGCACCTTCATCCCTTTGCTCATCACTGTGTATTGCCCAGCCCAGCCAAACTGAAGGGGCACAGCTTCCCTGGCAGGTGGGGATCCCAGTGTCCCCTTCAGCCCCAGCCAGCAATTCAGCACCACGCAGCCATCACTCCCCCTGCCCTGCTGGGATGGGGAGGAGCACTGGGAAAAAAGTAAACACTGCATGGTTTGAGCTAAGAACAGTTTAATAACTGAAATAAAATATACTACTACTACTAATGGTAGTAATAATAGTAATAAAAAAAAAAAAAAGAAGAAACTCCAGAGAAACCAGTGATGCCCAGTACAGCTGCTCCCCACTGCTGACTGATGTCCAGCCTGTCCCCCTTCAGTGACCAGTCCCTCCCAACCAACTGCCCCCAGTTTATACTGGACATGATGCTCTGTGGTGGGAAACATTCCTTTGGCCAGCTCTGGCCAGTTCCCTGCCATCTCCTTGCATGCCTCCCCACAGGCAGCAGCTGAGACACCAAACAGTCCTTGACCGAGGGAAGCACAGCTCAGCAACAACCAAAACACCCACTGCTATCAGCACTGCTCCCACCCCCAGCCAAAACAGCTCCTGGGAGGAGAACTAACTATCCCAGCCACAGCCAGGACACAGACACCCTCAGCAAGGCACGGCACCCCCAGCTCCTCCTGGCAGCACCCACCACTGCACACCAAGGCCTCTGCACAGCACCACAGCTGTGCATTACTGAGACAAGACACACACACATCATTTCAGCTGGAAAGACAGAGAGTGCCAGAGATGCCAACACTCCCAGTTTCTACCCCAGCTCTGAGTTTTCCTTCCAGTCCTGGCTAAGCCATTGGGCCCTGTGTACTGCTGGCATCAAACCCACACTGCTTATGGAGTGCTTTGAGCAGTGCCAGAAATGCTCAGTACCATCATTTACACTTGGAGCCAGAAACATTGGACCATTACTCTGCTGACACCACTGAACTGCAGGTTTTCAGGAACTGATGTGGACTACCAAGTACTATTCAATGCCCTGGGAGAATGGCACGTGAGGAAAGGAAACAAAGTTTTTGAAGCGCTGCAATACCAACATCACTCCCTAAACACAGTTTAGTCAGAGCAGAAGCTTTTGTAGGTCACACAGCTCAGTCACAGCCCAGTCACCACTGCTGACCCCCGAGGCTGAGGTGCTCACCTTTTGTACCAATCCACAGCTGGTCCTGCTCGAGTTTGAAGGTCAGCCTGACTTTGCCCCCTGACTTGTTGTACATGCCGGACAGCGGCACCGTGGGCAGCCGCTCCTGCAAGAGACACAGCCAGTCACGCCAGGCTGGGCACCAAACAAGCTCTCAGCTTTTTTAGCATAAAAACCCATCCTTGCAGCTTTCTGCTGCAGCAACAAACCACTGAACCAGTGGGGAGGGCTCTCAAAGCACACAGGAGTCTCTTGTGACTCCGAGTGTGTGGAGCCCTCGTTCACGCACCTGCACGCCTTTGACAGAAGGCATCACATCGTCAGGTTTTCCTTTGTCCAACACTTTTCTGTGTTGCTGCAACACAAAAACAGAAATTAAATTCACAGGAACATTGCCAAGTCTGCAGTGTACTTCCAGCTGTCCCCTGACCACATCCCAATGGCTCTGAGACACAGCTGAGGGCTGTGCACAGGCACTGGTCACCTTCAAACTTCAGTGGGCACTTCCCAAGGTGCCCTCGAGAAATAGCAAAATAAGTGGGACTCCAAGACAACACCAAGGATAACAGCCTTCTCAAACATGCACACAGGTGAATACATGTGTGCAGAATGCAGTGTCACACCCAGTGCACCAAGCCAGCACGGAGCAGAGCACAGGTAACTTTCAAATGCACACCCACAGCTTGTACCTGGCTGAGCACCCCTAAGAAATGAGTGGGAACTGTGATAAATCACAGAAAACCATCAGCATGCTTCATGCAAGCACTAATTATTTTTAACCAAGTTTATTTTGAGGAAGGTACATGGCTGGTAACACCCTGAGCTGGCAATCCCTCAGCAGCCACCAAAGCAGCCCCATGCACTGTGCCACAAGGTGTGAGAGGAGAATCCAACACCCACAGCCCTGTCAGGGCTGGGACAGCTGAGGGAACTGCTTTCTTGGTGTTTGCTTTGACCAGCTTTTGGAGACCAAATTCTTTTGTGCCAATAAAAATCAGTTAGGTTTTAGACAGAGTTAATCTGGGCTGTGTTAGCACTAACCCCCATCAAATGTCTCCAGTTTTTGACCAAAGTGTGTGGATGTGCCTGGCACCACAAGCAGTGTCTTGCAGAGCCCCAGTCCCTGCTGGACTAAACAGCTCTGTGCTACTCCCCTGCCCAGAGCCCTTCCAAGGCTGAGCTGCCAGAAATGAACCCCCAGGCTGATCTGAGGAGCAACAGGACCCACAGGTGCCTGCAGAAGACCCACATAAATCCTACTACTCTCCCACAGCAGCAATTACTGAGACATTCATTACCTTTTGTCTGCAAAGCGGCTCCTTTTTGTTCTCCTCAGCCTTGACCTCCTGCTGAGCAGCTTCTTTGGGCGTATTCACTGCTAGCACATCGTTGATGGTGGAGCCCACGACCATTATTTTGGCTCCGTTGGTGACTTTGATTTCCCGCAGGGTTTTCTCCTCGGGCAGCAGTCCCTTGAACATCACCTTCTGCATGGCGGGCGGGAGGCCTAGGGGCAAGCAGAGCGGTCAGCAGCGGCGGGCAGGGGGCGCGGGGGGGGGCGGCCGCACGCACCTGTCAGCGAGTGGATCTTCTGCTTCAGCTCGGCGCCCGTGCTGTCCAGGCAGAACTTCACGTCGTACTTGTTCTTGTTCCAGATCACCTTCAGCTCCACCAGCTCCCTGCCGCTCTCCTCGCCGCCGCCGTTGCTGACAGACGCCTGCGGGGGCTCCCGCCGCTCCTCGCCCTCCGGGGACCTCCCGGCCGCCGGCGAGCCGCCCCCTCCGCCGCAGCCCAGCGGCAGCTCCTGCGCCTCCGCCTCCATGCCCGGCTCCTCGGCACCTGCGGGGAGCGGACAGGAAGATCCGGGCCCACGGGACGCGGCCCCGGAGCGCCGCCCGCAGCGTGTCCGGGGCCGGCTCCGCGCCCGCCGCCTCCCGCCCGGCCCGGCC